CTGCTTTTCTGATGTGAGGGGCACATTATACTTCCATGTGATTTCTGTGCGGTTGGTCTCTATGTGACATACTTAGTGGAGACCTCATAGAAAGCGGTGGGTGTGCAAAGCTGTGTTCAATGTGATTGAAATCTTGGTTTAGAGTTTCTTTGTTTGGTTATTGAGGCGTCTGGCCAAGTAGAATGCTGTCAACTTGACCTTTCCAGGCTCTGAGGAAGGCGAAATCCGCCGAAACGTCAGCTCATTCGTGAACAAAGAATAATAACACCTCGCGTTTGCTCAACAAAAATACGAAGAATTACTTGATCAATGCCGAGGTTAATAGAAAGTCGGTCGTGGGAGTTACATTGCATAGCCTATTATTTTTAAGGTGTTAGCTTTTGTTGAGGTGTTTTGTACGTATTGCAGTAGAAGGACTCGTGGTTATCTCTACAGTACATGCAGGAAAGCGTTTTTGGCTGCGAGTTTCAACATGAATTGCTGAGCTAGTCTGGCGCGATATCAATTCGTTATTGATGATAGCTCCTTCAAAATATTTTAGTAGTTGGTGCATGTTGAAGGATTTGTCGGATGAAGTGGCCTTTTGTTGAGTACTTTGCGTTTGATGTCGACGGGAAATTTTCGACAATCTCTTTTGATAAATGCACTAATTGTTAAGATTTTCTTCTCTTTGGACTAGTTAGTTTATGATTGTTTCTACTTCCTGTAGTTTCAAACGCTGCTCATTTATGGCTGGTGACCGAGAGGAGGTTTGTCGACTTTCTTCAAGAACTTGGCGAAGAGCCTCGGAATCTCTATACTTTTTGATAAGGAACTCGACGGCCTTTACAGAGTTTTGTTTAGTAAATTGGGATTTCTTTATCGACTTTAGAAGTTCGTATTCCAAAGAGTGATGCAAATAGTGAAATTTTGTAGGTCGAAGAGATTTTGAGATTGTATATTTCATTTGAAAAGTTATCGGAAGTTGCCCTAGTCCCATATGTCATCATTGAATGTTGGGTGGAGATTGCGAGTAGCTCCAAATTCTTCACAATCGGAATGTTAACTTGTGCATCGTTTCCGTTGTTTGATATGAATGGTTTCAATAATGTGACTGAGCGCTTAGAGAATTGTGGTATACACCAACGCACATGCTAGCAGTTCTTCAGCGGCGGTTGAGTATTTTTCAAGGTCTTCCTCGTCGCTTGGTTACGTTTAATGTAATTCTTCCATTTTTATTGTAAATTCGTGCTATACATGTTCAAGTTTTGGCTCTAACTTATCGAGCGCTGCAACTCCTTCAAGACTTTGTAGGCTTTCTTGGACGAAGGCTGACGTGTTTCCTCCTTTACGGATGTAATACTGACCGCGTCGAATTGATCTTCTTTGTACCGTTCGAGTACCTTTTCCATCTGTTTAATACGTCTTAAGATTAATTGTTTGTGTGGTGGCTTACATAATGGTAGAAATGTAATTAGAACAGTTAGTTGTTAGCTCTATTGACTGCTCGCCTTCTGTGAATATGTCATGCTGGACTTTTAGTATGGTGTTACAGAACACAATTTCAACCCTGTATTATAACCGTCTATGTAAAATTACAGCAGTACAGTATTAACGGTGTGACGATATACAAAAGGACTAAAGATATAATTGTCAGTAGCAAGAAGAAGACTGAACTAGTAAGGAGTGTTGTGAAGAACTGGGGAGAGAATTGAACTAAGAGCTGATGGATCAGCTTATATTCGTCATGGGATAGGCAGAGTTTAGCTAGGGTAGTTGAAAATACAGTTTGCAGAGATAGTTTGAAGAGATACCTTCAAGTGATAATTTGGAAAGTTGTTTCGTAGGCAGTGCCATCTAATACAGATAATTCAGCAGACGATACAGTAGCCACGAATGCCTTTCTCAGAGCAGGGAGAAATAATATAAAGATAGAGAATATACAGTAGCTGTTAAGAATGTTCTCTATGTGAGTTCTGCAAGAAGGCGTTTGTGAGAATAACCTGCAGAATGGGAACCATCGTTTTCGCTGATTCCCAGTGATGACATTGTTTTCAGATTGCTACGGCGATTTTCCTCATCGTTCTACCGATTGGCTTTCTCATTAATATCTTCGTGATCATGCCTGTTTGGTATCCAGCATTTGGTGAAGGTATTGTGCTGTTTCTTCCATATGCTGTTAGGAAAATGTTTTATCAGAACCTTCTTTAATCCAATTTTTTAAGTTCTATTCTTGGCCATTTGAAATCAGAAGAAGTTTTTAGAAAGGGTTTTGTGCTAACTATTTCAGCTTGGGTTATTCGTGTTCTTTGTTTTATGCTCTTGGCATTTAACGTGTACATAAACTGGTATAAGATGGTAACCGTTGGACCAAGCGGAATGGCTACTGTGCTTCCAAATGTGGTCAAGGCAGGTTTTCGGTACGTGTATGAAAGAAGTTGCACCGTTTGAGGTTCGATTTTCACCTCTTTACTACAGTGCCAATCTCTTTACAGATATTGCCATTCTTGTCACACGAACGCTCCACCTCGTGCTTATCATTGTCCTGGTAAGGATTAAAGGCCGTTTACACAATTATTTTCATCCTCAAAGCAAACTTTTTCGCTTAGAAACTCTAGCAATTTCCCTTAGAAATTCGTAGACTAGCATTTTATTTCGTGAGAACTATCATAAATTATCTTTTCGTCTACATCCAATTTCGCTATTTAAATCCCATTGAAATAATCTGGGGAAGAATGCGCTCGCGTATAGCATAAAGGAACAAGGAGAATAAAGTTCTCGGCGTTGAGGGGTTGACCACTCCCAGAGAGATGCGCCTTGTATTCGACTGCATCGTTTGGAGGTGATTGGGCGCACGTGGCGCAGTGGTTGGAGACGCCACTGCAACACACACGTGGAATCGGTCCCTGCGCCCATGGCACACCAAGTCTTCCATCCCTCCGGGGTCGGAAAATTGGTACCAGAGTTGTCTGGGAGGATAGCAGCACTGGCTCGATACATCAGTAGGTTACCGCGAGTTGTTGTAAAAGCCAGATATGCATTCAATCACCTCCAACGATACCTAGTGAAGTCGAATACATGGCGCATCCCTCAAGGAGTGATCAACGTCGGGAGCTTTATCCTTTATCCTTTTTAGCCTTGGAGGTTATTGAATGCGTATCTAGCATTTTAAATGACTCGCGGTGGCCTACCGATGTACCGAGTCAGCGCTACTATCCTCCTAGACAGGTCTGGTACCAATTTGCCGACCCCGGAGGGATGGAAAGCTTGGTGAGCCTGGGGCGCAGAGATCGATCCCATGTGTTATTGCAGGGCGCATCCGATTGCTGCTCTACATGCTCCCTTTTTCTTCTAGCATAGAGTGTGCTAATCGGACCTTTAAAATGATGTCTCTATCACTTCATTCGCTATACTGTTCATGTTATGTGACTCGTAATAATTCTGTTTATAGTATGTGACAAATGTTGCTTTCGCCGTGATCATCACTGTTCGTTTGGGGCAGTTTGTGTCGGACATTTTAACCAGAGGTGCTACTGTTTATTCTAACCATGGAATTCATAAGAGCACTTTATGAAAATTAAACTACCACTATGTAGTATTCTAATTATGAATATTGAACAAACGAAAGTACGTGGAACTAGTTTATTTTGCTTCCTTAGTGTTTCGCACCTTATTGTACTGTGATACCTTGCCGAATTATTTAAAGAGACTTGTAGATTTCGCTTTCCGTAGAAGCAAAATTGAAAGCAGCTTTTATCGTTGTATTGTGTTTTTAAAAATTCAACATGTAAATACGTAGAACTTGTTGGACGGTGTTTGTTTGGCTGTATTTCAAATACTCTTGCTTTTTTCTTCTCAAGAAATGTAACTGTGGTAATACGTTATATGGAATTCAGGTACTTTGTAGCCGCCGTTGTCAATCTCCTGTTGCTCTGTATTCCGCTCTTTCGGTGAACTAAAATTTTAGTTTTTGATTCCCTGATATCGCCCTAGTTACGGCAATGATTGCAGGTATACATGGGACTTCGTCTGGATTCGAATCGAAGGTGGATTTTCAATGGGACGGTGTTGGCAAATTCTCCTCCCACATCTGGCTTTAATGACTAGGTTAGATTTCGTGTATTAGTTATTGTTTCAAAGAAGTTTTTTTTATTTGAATGTATTGTAGTTCTTGGTTCTGTGTTTATTTATATTTCAGAGTAATTTCGTTGTATCAGTTTTTCTATATTGTCTACTGTGCCTCTACATTTACAGTGCTTTTGTTCGTAGCATATCTTGTTTTTGCACAAATATTTTGTATTTGGAATGGACAAACACGAATGGAATACTTATTAGTGAGTTCATTTCGTTCGTAACGGGTAGTTATTGTGGCTGTTAGAATAGGAATTTGTTATAGGAAGTACATGCTTATCAAATGGGCTTTTTGGATAACCTCAACCAATGTCTCGGCTCGCGATGGCCACTAATCTTCATTTCACCATTTATTCCGAGTCCTTTACCATCGGATGGAATGACATTTGTAACAAGGGAAATCAAGGAATACAATGACCCGAAATACTTATAGATTATTCTCCAAATAATGCATCTATGTTATTGGTCATACCCGTTTGATCTCTTTCTTTACCGTTGATGGCCATAATATGACGTAATTTCTTTGCATTAAATTCGGTTTTAGATATTTCCTGAGGGGAAAATCAAAATTATATGCAACAATGTGTACAGTTTATAGTCTGTAACATATTTCTAGGAAAATGTAGAATTGCAAAGAATGTTCTCTTTCTTACCTGTGCTTAATATCGTTTTTCATTCGTAGCGAGTAGGGTATCACATTAATCTCGTTTGTGCCCGGTTGGGCACGTTACCCATCAACAGTTCTCAATTAGGATCCGTACCTACATCTGTTGATTACTAATACGGAAATCATGTTTCTATAAAAACATTCTTATGAGGTCCGGATGCATTAAGAGTGGTTCGAACATTTGGATGCTCGTAAGAATACTTAGCGCGTACCTTGTTGCACGTTGTTGTGTACCAGCAAGACCTGTGTGACCCGTTTACTATCTTTCAGTGTTGTTGACGTTATAGGCTGCTTTTGCTGGAATCATTGCAAAAGAACAAGGATATTTTCCTATTATTTGTTGAATCCAATGCCTAATGTTTACCAATTGGAACGTGACTTTTGCTGCTATCACATCATTGTTTTGAGGCATTGTTACATAACTGACATGCTCAACAGAAAAGTTGATGTTGACTTCCTGACTATTTGGCTGCTGGTTAAGTTCAGCACAGTATTGTGTGTGTTTGTTTCCTGTTCCAATGTCATGTGTTGTCGTCTTTTTAAGCAAATTGGATTTTGTACTAAAGAAAATGGAAGAGTTATTATCATTATTGGAAACTGCAGTATTATCCTGATGCATAACAAATATCTACTTCGAAAGACAAGTTTAGAAGAAACACATTTTATGTGGTTAGTGCGACGCAGATGTGAAATGCTGTTAATCCAACTCATTGAAGGTGAATAGGGAAATTGGCGAAATGAGCGGCTTCGCTCGTAAGTGAAACATAAACAGTGGTTTGTGGGGCATATAGTAGCAAAGAGAAAGTGGCGAAAAAGCGAAGAACTGCCATCTCAACACTCATCAATTCACACAGCGATTGATCTTGCATTGAGGTATTCTAGATCCAGACGTTACTTAAGCAAGATAAGAATATGGTCAGCAAACACACCATCAAGGTGGTGGTGTTAGAAGAATCATTTTAGGTACAATGAAGGGAAGTCACCTGCATCACCTGCAGTCCCGTTGATCGTCGAGTGACTCGAGCTGGCGCCAGTAATTCTTTAATTTTTCCCTGTCGCGTGCAAGAGTAAACCAGTGGGTTCTGCTTGCTCTGGGGATCCGTCGAGCATCATATCTTTCTACTAGGCTTTTCGTGAAGAACTCTGACCATCGAGTTGGTCATCTTCCTGCAGTGCGTTTAACATCCCGAGGAATCCAGTCACTAACGACTCTTGTCCATCGGTTGTCCTTCATACATATTACGTGTCAGGCCTACTTTATCTTCTACAGTTTGGTGTATTGAGCAACATCTTTGATGTTGGATAGTTGACGCAGGTCGGAGCTTCGATTCCTTTCCATTACTTCTATGACATCGGATACTCCTAGCATCGTCCCTTCGACCGCGCGTTCAATAACGCTGAGTGATTCTTTATCCCGCTTACGCAGCGACCAGGTTTCTGACGCATACGTTAGGGCAGGAAATACCGTTGAGTCGAAAAGGTGAACACGGAGTCGTGTGTTCTTCGTTCTGTTCACTACATCCTCGATGCTCTTGAAAGCTCCTCAGGCCGCTCGTTTCCTTCTGCTCAGGTCTGGAGCTAAGTCGTACATCATACTGATTTTCCGACCTAGATAGACATAACTGAAGCATTCGGAAATATTCGTTCCGTTGAGCGTGAATGGGACATGCGAAACTAATCTGTTCTTCATGAGCACCTTTTTTTGATATTTTGTCGAAGACTAATCCTTCCACAGGCTTTATCAAAGTCAGCAACCATACGTTCCGTTTGGCTAATGTTTGGTGTTATAAGGACGATGTCATCAGCAAAGCGAAGATGGTGTACCTGCGAACCATCGATATTCAACCGTCAACGAGAACTATCTAAACTGCTGAGAAAACTATGTAAGGGTTCTGAAATTAAAGCCTTGAAAACATTACAAACCTTTACTGATCGTAATTCTTTATTAGGTGTAGTGAAGCTGTTACTATCTGAAGTAACTTAGGCACCATGTAGTGATGATTCAGTGATAAAGTGCTTGCATGTGACACGGACGACGCGGGTTCGACAGCCGACCAAGGTGCCACGTAAAACGATCGGTCGAGTTGCATAGATGTGTGCTACGCGGGGCTTTTGGCTGTATTGCAGATCTTCCCATCCTCGAACTTGTGTAATAAGATTATTTACTATATAATATTGCAATCCTCCCAACGGAAGGCATACGGAAGATATAAGCGAATACAGTGTAGAAGAGACAAAAACCGATCCCTGAATTCGTGTGCGCTCACAGTAAATATACGAGCACTTCTGTTTCGTTCGTAATCCCGTCTGCCACTTTAGGGCGAGTCACGTAGTCTCGCTCTCGACTGGCTGGGTGGAGGTCGTTCACATAACTAAGATCGGTGGTTCTAATTCGTAACGGTTGAGAGGGAAAATAAATAACAACTAGTAGACGCGTATAAGTAGCAAAATTATTCTTTGAAAACACTCCTACCTGTAATCAAGTATCACCGAAACTGTGTTCCTTACCCCTGATCCCTTCCTATGTGGACTCAACACACTCATTAGCTTCTTTATGGCTAACCGAGGTGTTAATACTAAAGCAGAATGTTTACAAGCTTCCCGTTCATTATAAACCATTTTGTCAAGCATTCACATTGAACTTCCAAAAGTTCTCGGTTTCTCGTTCTGGGGAAACATAAATAGGTTATGGCAGACCTCACTTCCATTGATAGGATCTGCGAACACACGTACCAAGATCAACCTGAGATTCCATGGAAAGAAAAACCAATCCAATCAGCTAAGTGTCCCTGAACGAATTCTAATTATGTTGCACAAATTGTCCCATTCCTACCAATCTTTCAAAAATGCGCCCCGTACCAAGAAATTCGACCATTGTAGCAACTGCACCGATGCTGCTGTTTGACAAACTTGGCTTGTGCACCATGCGACAGCGACAAGCTGTCATGCACACTTTAGCTTCCTACAACTGGCTCCTGTCTGTCAGCCAGACTCACTCATTCTTTGCCCATCATAAAGAATAAGGGTTAAGGCTCTCGTCTTTGATCAAACTATCAGGAATGAGTCATGCATTCGACTTCATTAAGCATTACTTGGAGGTGACTAAATGCATATCTGGCCTTTCCAATGACTCGTGGTAGGCTACCAATGTATCGAGCCAGTGCTGCTATGCTCCTAGACAAGTCTGGTGACAATTTGCCGACGATTGAGGGATGGAAGACTTGGTGGATTATGGGTGCAGGAATCGATCGCATGTGTCCTATGTGCCCTAAGGGGCTCCTTCAACCACTGCGTCGTATGCGCCCTTGTCCATCATATCTATTGAAAATATGGTGACATATTCTGATGAATGCTACTAAAAACACTTAAATTTTCTGAAATTTCTTCTAAAAGCACTGCAAATGTGTAAAACAAGAAAATCCCAGTGTAGGTCAGCATGACACAAGTGACATATTACTCACCAGGACGCGCCAAATGAGTACTAGCCATAATAGTCATCTCTGTCTAGTCCAAACCCGAACTACCAAAATTGAAAGTTCTTCCTGTTTATTAAGGTGTACAAAATAGAGCGGAAAAAACTCATACAAAAGATATTGAAAGAAAAAACAGTAAGATTAACAAAAAGAAAACACGAAGAAACCCAAAATCTAAAAGACAACAAGAAAAATAGGCACTTATAAACGAATACGAAGTAAACCTTATGAGAAAAAGGCTATTGAAACTACCAGTGCAATACGATAAGCAATCCTATTAATCATTACATTAGATGGTATAACAGGCTGCTGGCGTTTTTTGACAACAATCAGGCAGTTACTACACAAATTCCCACAAGTTTGTCTTATCAACAATCCTCTTCTGACAATCTAGGAGTTAATATTAGATTAACAATGAAAGAATATAGGAGCGATTACTTCGCCCTCATATTAACAAAGAGAAATGAAACAACAATCTCGAAATCTTCTCGTGGAAAAAAAATGATCCAATACTAACATCTACGATAGCTGAATACTATAACAAACAACAAATATGAAAGTGAATTCGAGACACTATAATAGCACAAATGGAAGAGACGCGCCTATGACGCTGTTAAGCCAATAGAAGAAAGTAACAGGAAAATTTTACAAACGCTTGACCCTCTATCCATACACCGTGGCTCACATGTTAGACATCATTAAATTGAAATTCATTGTTAGCACTTTGTAAACTTCCCCGCTAATCTTACAAGTTTACTTCATTATTAAATGGTGGAGGCTTGGTTTCAAATCCCAGTGGTTCAGGTGTCATATTATAACTGGGATAAGTACAAAACTGTAGAGGTGCAAGTGGAGGTGGTGGATATAGACTATGCGCTGGTGGGTATAGATCCTGCACTGCTGGATGTACAGTACGGACTGGGGGGCATAGATCCTCCAATGGGGGATATAGACCCTGTGTTGGGGAATGTACACCATTCGCAGGGGGATATAGAGTTTGGATTGGTGGAATAACGCCTTCAGAACAAGGAACACTTTGCATATAGTTCGGAAACGGCGCAAATTGAGAAATATCTGGAAACTGTGGCAAAAGCGAACGTTCCGCGGGGCTCCCCATTTGTGGAATCACGGTGTTACTCACTTGTGGAATAACGGTGTTACTCATTTGTGGAATAACGGCGTTACCCATTTGTGGAATAACGGTGTTACCCATTTGTGGAATAACGGTGTTACCCATTTGTGGAATAACGGTGTTATCCATTTGTGGAATAACAGTATTCCCCATTTGTGGAACAAAGGTGTTCTCGATTTGTGGAGAAACGATGTTCTCTACTTGTGGAAAAACGGCGTTCCCCACTTGTGGAACAAAGGTGCTCCCAATTTGTGGAGCAAAAATGTTCTCCATTTGTGGAAAAACGGTGTTCTCAATTCGTGGAAAAACGGTGTTATCCGTTTGTGAAAGAACGGTGTTCTCCACTTGTGAAAGAACGGTGTTCTCCACTTGTGGAAGAACGGTGTTCTCCACTTGTGGAAAAACGGTGTTACCCATTTGTGGAAGAAAAGCGGGGGCGATACGAGCGACATTCGCTTTTGTTAGTTCACTTGCACGGTACATGTTCGCCAGATTTTCGCAAGCCCTGAAAACCTTTCTGAGATTTCCGAATACGACAATAAACGGAAGGCGATAAAAAGAAAAATACTAACTTGATGATAAATTCAGGAGTTGACGGCTGAGGTGCGTTCATTAGGAGAAACTCGAGTTTCTGTAAAGCGAAACACAACGATGGTCAACGACTAGGATCCCCACAACCCCAAGCCATTAGGATTTTGGGTAATAGTGGTAACACAAGGTGAACACTAAGCGTAATTATGCTATAAAGCGACACACCAACTATTGTGCGAATAAAAAAGTGAATTGTGTCGAACCTTCAGCCCCTCTTGCGTTTTAAGCAGACAGTTTACGTCCCAGGTGTTCATCTTTACAAAGGCGAACAGTGGTCTAGGTGTGCTGAAAAGCTCATAATACTACAATAACACATGCCAACAATGAAACGTCCTTTCTTTCGATGTTGTGTCCCATCGCTCAGTCTATTGGGAATCAAGCTATAAGCTAAAGCCATGCAATTCTAGTGAAGCAAAATAAACATGGTATCGAACGCGAAACACATGCAAAGAATCACAACATGCAACACTTGCCCTTCACGTAGAAAACCTACGTTTCCAGTGGACCAGTAGCTCCACCAAGAAGGTCAAAGGTGAACTTCTGCATCGCCTCCATGTGCTTTTTTGTAACAATGCCCGGTATAAATACCAGCGTACTAAAAAAACGTCCAGATAACACGATACTGTTGTCACAACAAGTATATTTATGAAGATGCCTGAGGTATTAATGAAACGAGACTTGTAAGCAATTCTTCACTAGAAATATAATAATACATTATGACCAACAATGCATTTTCTCACTAACCCTTTATTAGATCCATCACCATGATTATCCGTATCTGAATGAGATTTCCGCTCAACAGAATTATCATCAGATCTTGAACTCACGTTACAAGCATCGGAAGCCTATAAATTTATACCAAAATAACTGATGACCCATATAAGTCGATCCCGAAAACTATATTCATTCTACTGTCATTTAAATAATATCAGTGACAACGCGATAATTAAAAGCCTAGAGGAACTTGAAGACGTTTGCTTCACAATAATATAGTCGCTTCCGAGAAAGTAGTCTTAAGAAAGTATGTATTAAGACCATCTGCAACATGGCGACTAAAAGAGGATGGGAGGGGTCACAACTTCCAACGGCCGTCGTGATCTTTCCTTTCGCTAGTGGTATTGTAGTGGGCTTACAAGAAGTCTTTTGACACGCCGCGATTGACGCATAGATGAGATATTGTACTAATGCCTGGATGTTTTCCTTTCAACGTAATCCTCTATCCACAAAATCATCAATGGCGTTTAATCGGAAACTAACGACTTTTCAACAAACCAAGAAAATAGGCACCAGACCTCTACAGCAGATTCTTCAAGCTTCCTTTTTCGAGGAAGCGACAAATCAGGCTCAATCACTTTGCGTACTGAACGGAACGTTTGACAACCCTTACGGAGACACCTTTAATAGGCTATTAGTTCACGTGATTTACGACAAAATTTATGATAAAGTCAAAATCAAGTCAAATATCAATGTTGTGCACCTGTAGGCCGCATATTCCCGTATTTCTCCCTTGTATTTACTTTTTCGTATACATAGCTTCATTGGATAATCACAGAGGTGGCAATGTATTTCTTCAGGCACTTCCGTTGTAAGTCCGTTGAATGACACCAAATGACCCGAGGTCGCAACGTTACCTGAAAGATTTCTGTTTCAGGAAATTTAATGAAGGTAGCGTGCAATTTCGAAGGCACAAACCATCTGTAGTGTTCGAATTTGAAGGTGCCAGTGCTTCTAGAGTCACTGGACCAGACATCCGTGTGGGAAGAAGTTCACGGCGGCCTGTGTATCCATTTGAGATACTCACTGAACTGTTGTTACCAGATTTCGACTAAACCAAAAACACGTCGAGATACTTAGCGAGCTCATTCTTAAAACAGACTTACGATCACTCCGTTCTTCGACTTCATTGCTGCCAACGCCTCGGCAAGCGGAGGATTCAGTTGGTCAAGTGTGAGATTGTTGTTCAGTGGCTGCTCAGTCACAGTGCGCTGCTGTCTTCGCATCCCAAGGGTTCCACCAGGTGTCATGGCTGGGTACTTTCTATCAATACTGTCGTCTGCAATGGTAGCTGAATACTACAGCAATCACTTCTCGTACGAATCGAGACTTTTTTTGCTTTCCCTCAGCTATGTAATAGTAAAACTAGACCGAATTTAATTGGACACATCTATTACATTCTCCTCAGAAACACCAGCTATATTTTCTTGAAAAACAAAAAGCAAAGAACATTACTTAGTGTGCCATTCGACGTCCGAAGACGATGAGAAGTCAAGTCATCATTATTTGGTACAGAACTGGTTTTTGATATCAGTGAACAACCTGTGGGCAACTTCAACTGCGTTGGTTTCGTTTCTCCAAACGTTTCCTTCGAATCGTGTAGTGTGAAGGTGTCCATTTTCCCGTTTACAGACTGAAAAAATAACGACATCATTTGCAGATTTGAAAGAAAAATCGTACTGAATTCCTGGAAATCACCTGTGTCAATTCACTCCATGTACTTTCAATAACATTGTAGCTCTTACTACGATAGAAACATAGTAAAGCCTATCGACAATTACCTTGTGATAGCCAATCAACCATTTACAATTTACTGGTTGGCGTCAATAAAGGATAAATATAATGAAAGATTTACAAACTGACCACATCTTGCGACATAATCGCAAACGTATCATCAGATGGACTATACTCGCGATCAAGTAGTGGCGGAGACTCGTCACCACTCATTGGAGCAAAGAAATTGACCAACTGAAATTGTGTCTTCAAGAAAAAAAAAGACTGACTAAGCTCTGTTTCCGAGTTCTATCAACAGAAGTACTTTCTATGAAATTATCCCAAGTTAAACATTCGGGCTTTAAGCAGCTTTTGCAAGCAATCGACAGTTACTCGAGCAATGAACGATCATTCCAGTATGTCTACGCATGTCCTTACAAACTTCCCTTGTTGAAATGGTGGTTGGTATGAGTTGAAGTCGTTGCCGTTGTTGTTGTTGTTGTTGTTCGACGGCTTACGCTTCAGCGACTTCGCCTTCCCCAGACCCAGTACGTATTTTATGTGCCAATAGCGTTTTAATTCGATGAAATATGGACAGTATTAATGGAGACCTAACATATAAATGAACTCCACTTTGTTTAATAATCGATGTTCCATCCAATTAAAAGCCTATTGTTATGTAAAATACGTCCAGCAGGTTCTGAGGCAGGCCAAGTCGCCGATACACTCACCCATAAAACAACAACAACAACAACAACAACAACAAAAACAATAACAGCGACTACTTACACCATTTTCGAATAAGCTCAATAATGGCAGTTCGTAAGGCTATATATAGATGCATCCATTGTTAATCCCGATATCTATAGAATATCGGTCCCTTGGATCTAATATTTCACTATATTTCAAATAAATAGAAATATAAGAAAGCGAATGAAGAAAGTAAAGAGGATCTCAAAACTCAGCCAACCCAGGAACATCTGCGATCCGAACTGCGAGCGAGGGTGGGGTCCGGGTGATCAAAACTGATCGAAGATCACAAAAGAATCAAACCGTTGAATCGTTTACTCGAATAACTACTAAACGATACTTCGAAACACTTCATTTTCAGCCACTTACAAGTATATTCAGTTCTGTTTTTGTATATAAGCCGTCATAAAACTTATGATTTGGTCTTAAGTTCATAACGGCAAGACATGCACCCTATGCCGGACATCGCTTGATCGTCGATCGATGAGGCGCATATACGGCCTGGGCAGTTGCAAACCTTCTCGACAAGAGTGCTCTCAGTTTCTTTTCACTACTACTACTGACTGGATCTTACTGCTTGTTACTATTTACTTCATCCCATCCCGGTAATAGCATTACGTCTAAGACATGATGTCTGAACAACGACTACAACTTAATGCACTGGTAATGTCTTTAAAATTTCCATTTTCTTAGCACAAGTACTTATTCCATTTAGTCCGTATTTACATTTACTTAGTTGTTATTATGGCTGGTCCTTTGAGTTGTTTTCAGCAACGTGGTCGATGCATCGAGCAACGAACTCGTGGATTCTCACTGAGTAGCTTCTACAGAGCAGAGAGTGATTCAAATGATCAGACCGATTTGTGAGTTATTACGAGGATGTTTTCAAGGATTCTTTTCCAATGAAAGTATTTCGTATGATAACGTTTTTAGGATTCGAGCATTCTCTGATGTTTCGTTAGCCGATGACTACCCAGTTAACAAGAAAGGTCAACATACGATGCCTAGGGCTATAAGCGATGGAGGTTTCGGGAAAAGTTTTCGGAAGGATCTGAAGAAAGTGGTCAAGAGGGAGCGCAGGTTGGATAGCTAGTTTTTACGGGACGACAAAAAAATCGATGTAGTGCCTACCTACGTATCGTAATATCTAAATATTTAAAATGTAAAACGCAAACATTAAAGAGTTCTTACCGCAATTAATATTTCGTTCGGTGTTAGGGTTTCCAACCAATCTGAGTTTTCTGTCGTCGCATTTGCTGTGGGAAGGCATCGGAGTCGCCGTGAAGGCATGAATAGTTGAGGACCCTGTCGTACAGTGATCATCTCATTCACCTGGATTTCAAGGCCTTCCTCTTTCTGCTCTGTCTGTGGTGGTTCGGGTTTTATTCCCGGACTGTTATGGATTGATATGCTGTCCACAGTCTCCTCATATGGTTCAAGCTGATCTAAGGCTTGCTTCAAATGGCTGAAGGACTTATGGTGATCCTCTTCCGGATCTTCAAACTCGTGCTTGATGTAGCTGGTATTCATCGAAGATAATCGCGAGTTCTTGCTACTGGACAGAATACGCGGAATGCTTCTACGCTGCTTACTAACAGTCGTAGACACATCCATTCTAGCCATGCTTGTTTTATGCTAGTGGATTAATCTGAAGAAGAAAAAACTGAATTACTAGAAATTTATTCGCTAGTAATAGAGAAAAAAATAAGGAATTAAACATACATTGAAAAAAAACCTATGGAAGGTTCGTATCGTAGGTCGGAGTTGAGTACAGAGAGGATGGCCGATTCACAGATCTAGAACATATTTGTGGTAAGAGAATGCCAATGGGACACATTGGACAATCGCGACGACATCCAGAAACGCGGGAGGTCACGGGCATGGACCAGCACAGCGCGTCGCGACTGCAGCGCGTTGGGCTACTCGTTATGAGGCGAGCGGGCATGACATTCGAAATAAAAAGGAAAATGATGAAAAATCAAGAATGAAGACTGTTTTTCAGCGGCCACAGTTTGCCTGCCCAAAGCTCAAATTGGCAATAAGATCGTTTAAATACTGTTAACGCTTGATATCATTTAGCTTCAGAGCATTATCCGATCAGTCCTGCTAAGAAAGTAACATTAACATGCTTTATGTGTTTTGTAGCATTAAATTTAATGGTGCCATATGGATCACACTCGTACTTTGTCAATGATTTCGTCCATAAGAATGCAAATCTTGCTAGATCTGAACATAGTCGCTTCACTGGTTGCTGCTTATCACCAAGCTATGATTGAGGTATTGCAGACTGTAGGTGATTTTTTAGTGGTGAGAATGAGGAAAAAGAGTATGTAGATGTGATGAGTATTAATACAGTCAAGTGTTCTGCGTTCGTACGTGATTTTGAGACTTTGAGAGTAAAATTGCTTCAAAGTGATGCAAATCACTTTTTTTTTGAAGAGCATCGAATTCCAAAGTATGAGCTATAAGTTTCTTCCGTAATCAAAACGAAAGGCTCAGTTAATCAAATATTATATGAGTAGGTAGGTGGGCGTGGGGCAAGGCTATCAGTTTGCACAGGAATATTTGATCCATATAAGTGCTATTCGGTATAGAAGTAAAGAAGCATAATTTTCGTCCCTTTCCCGTACAGAAATCACCTAGCGTTTTCAATTTTCTAAATGAGCTATTTCCAAATTGATGGACATCGGTTGGAGCTGGAAGCACCTATAGCTGCTCCCACATGTAGCTCTGTTTTTTTTCCCGTTGACGGTATGTTTGTCATAGTTCGAATACTGTACTGTACGACCGAATTTGGTCTGGGTTAATTTTTTTCGTGAACTTCAAAGGATTACTGCTTTGGTTTTCCGACGAAGCGAATTGGAAGCGGTTTGAATACACTGTGGACTCAGTTGTAAAAAATTGCAATCATATATAAATCTTGGCATAACTATCTCTATTAATCCTAATAGTAGAAAGATAGAACTTTTAAATACAACTCCTACATAGACATTATCTCCGTAGTGAAAATGTCGGCAATAGCATACTATAGTTGATTATCTGGTGTAAATAACCTTAACATGGTGTTAAATCATTGATCTTATTTGTTCTCTAATTGTCTTTCTATTCCAATAATTAAAATTTCACTAATCACACCTACTTTATTACCATCCAAGGGGCGTTGTCTTGTTCTCCATGATGGCGTCTATGACTTATTGTACTACAGAACACTACAATGATTAAACCTGCCATATTGTATACCAAAACGTGTCTAAATCTTACATCTTTTTTCTTGTTTCTAATCTAACTGATGCGATGCTCTTATGGTGAATGTAAAGGTGAAATTTTAACCTTAGCGTATACATTTACTGTTATCGTAGTCGTATGTAATGATCAATTAAGGACATCTATCCAACCGTTGGCCGAGCGATGCGGGCGGGGGAGGGTGTTCGTCTAGAGCGCGCGGGAATATCGTGGTAGTTGGACGACCTAGCAGTTCATTCTCTGACATCAGCGCGAATTTTCGAACAGCTGACTTTTCGAAGATTCTCGTATTATCAAATAATGATTTACACAGTACGCAATATGAATATTCAAAAATTGGTCATTTTAAGTGCGATACTCGTAAGCGAGCATTCTAAACAAATAATGCTGGTGACAAATATTATTTCATTTCACTCACTCAATGTACCTGTGAATATGTGTGTGTGTATGTGCGTATGTATGTGTGTATGTGTGTGCGTGTGGCGAGGATCAGTGACGCCTTCGCTATTGTGGTTGTCGGTACTCGTCAACCTCCACTGTGTTCGTCGACGACGAATCAGTAGATCATGAACGCTATTACTCTTCTGCGATGGAAATAAAGAAGCGAAGGAACGCTGCCAAAAATTATGGAGCAATTTATTTTTTGCAAAAATTGTATTTTGTATATCTATATATGTTGCACATACTTATGTTTCGTAGGTTTTTTATTCAACATAAGCAGCAAAAATCACGTTTAACTGATAGCAAGAAGCTGTAGAGATGTTTGTGGTATTTCTTTAAGGTTATGGGTGGAGTGGTGGAGTGGTTAGTAATGCAGCCCATCAGAAAGCAAGGAGATAGCTCAATACCCTTCCAACGCTCTCTTTCAATCCATGTAGAAACGCGTTAACCCGACAGTCCGCCAGATAACAAGGAGAATCGACTTGAACAGAATCCTACGATATTCGTAAAGAAGACGAAATCCTCACGAAGAAGGCGAAACAACACGCGAAATGTTTGAAAGCCTTTGTGGACGAAGAATGCGGGGAAAACGACGCGAATACAGGAATTGCTGGGATCTCCGTGCAGCAGATGTGATGGCGGTTCATAGAAAAAAATTACATCGTTTAGTAACAAACGATGAGTACAGAATAGGTTCGACAATTACACTTGTCTTCCTACTCGCTGATTTGCGCGGTCTTTTTCCAACCTGCGTGCTATTCTGCAAAAGTGTACGAAAAATTGCTCTGTAAAAAGTTTTAGAAATGACCACCAAAGTTCATAAATTGGTGCGACGTCTCTTTGCGAATGAATTAATTTGGACAGCCCTCCAACTGATATATGCTTGGCTTACGTAACTGTTCTGTTTTAGCGTACCAGTATGAGAACAATGTATTTGTATTAAATCAGTGATGCTTTCTTTCACAGAAGTATTTCTAGGGTAAAGGTTTCAGCTTTGCCCCTTACCATTTTTCGTGCACGTCTGGTAGATAAGCAGTCAGCATCTTACGTGATGACGTGACAATGAAAACCAAACTGTTATATTGGGCTTCAGTCCATGTAGGAAACGACCCTACATTAAAAGTGTAACTATGGTATTATTTTTGCATAAAATCCGTAATGTTCATTTCAAAACGCGAAAAATTGAAATACATCTCTAGTGGCCACGATTCAACATAAAGTCATTAATTCGAGAGATTCAAAACCAATGTCGAGTATTTCGAATGTCATAGTCCTAACGTTTTATGGTGAACAGAAAAAGCTGTTTGGAACTTATTATGCAGTAGAAGGTTTGATTGTGTGGGATATTCATTCAGGAGAACAGATCAGAATCTAGAAAGCAGTGGTGAGAGGTGAATAGTGTTGTTCCATTGCCAGTGCCGCGATTGAAGGGCGGCGGCCGGGGCCGGGAAAAGGGCGAATCGATCGATGGAAGATCATTCTTCAGCGCGCCGAGTGCCTGATTAGTATACGAGATTACCACTAATCGATATTCGAAAGAATGTTTTAATTTTTTAAGAATATATGTGGTGTTGAATGGAAAGATTTACAACCATAAGTCCTTGTGTAAAGTGCTTTTTTTTCCACGAATGTGGTGAGCCTGTTGTCCTGGCTGTACGGGAAGGTATTGCAAACGTCTAGCCTCTGTTTAAAGTAGCGGTCGATGCTTAAGTGTTTTGGTAGTCTTGCAAGATCAATTAAAACTTGGTGTTCGATTGTAAACTATGTCTGTTTCATTAATAGTGAAAGGAGCTTCATGTCTTGATTGGATACTGCGACATCTGCATGACCCGTTTTTACCTGACGTGTGAGCCCCACTACAACTTTTATTTGGTGGGATTTTCTTGGTCGGCAAGGAATTTTTCTCGTAAAGTTTCGAAATATGCGCTCCAGAATGTTCGTAGGTCCACATGCAATGGCCAGCTCGTATAAATCGGAAGCTGGTTTGCTGCTTTGATACTAGGTAGCTTCTAAAAGATTTCTACAATCCCTGCTGGGCTCAGCTTCGTTGACCCATACGGGAAGTGGAAACTCTGTTGTACATCGTAATTCGACAGCCAGGAACATTCCTTCTCACCGGTTTGCTCTAAATGAATGTTCCTGACTGGCACACCTATGCTTTATAAAAAAAAATCACCTTTTACAATTGACTAGGCGAAATGTGAAGCGTATACCGGAAAATTATTCCTCAATTAAAAAGTGTCAGCACTTCGTGCAAAGGCAAAAGGAAACGATGCAATCGGTTCAAATCTAAATGCAATATTTTAAAATTGGTGGATGTTGGTACATTTTCGAAATTAAATGTCGATGGAGATAACAAAGTGTGAGCAAAATACAGCGTTGAAGATGGTGCAAGGATGCCACTGAGAATAACTGCCTTCACGTACTCTGTGCGAGGATGGTAAAAATGGAAAGTTCTAGAGTGCTACAAAATCTAGACGTTAAGTAGTCCAGGAGTACCTATGGTGGATATATGCAGAGGCAAAGCTGGTAGTAGTCTTAAGTCACAGACGTGCATAGACGATGCAATATTGTAATACATTGGAGGTGAGAGTGACATACAAAGTGGTAACTGTATATGAGAAGTAATTGTTTATATAAAAAGGTAGAAAATATTCTTTACGATGTAGCAAATATTTTCTATCAAAAAAGGATGAGAAACGTATAGAAGAAACTTCGATATATCGCCCTTAGAGAATAACTAATTGTTCTAAGATATTTAATTTCGCCGGAAGTTATTAGTTTTTATTATTAAGTCTTGAGAGAGTACTAATGAAGTAAAAATGTTAACATTACTGATGTAAATGCAGTAATCACACACATTTGGATCCAGACCGCCGTGCTCACCTTTTTGACAACTGGGAGATTCTCCTAGTACTTAACTTTAGCGGTGCAGACAGTTGAAATTTAAACCACGTTTAGAATGTCAAACATCATTCACAGAACCGTTGAACGATGTCTTCTGAGACGTAATTGGTACAATTAGCATCCAGCCAGACTCTGCAGTTCATATCCTCGAAAGTTATTCAATCCTTGAGAGCCGTCGGAAGTGGAACATAGATGTGTTAGTCATTTACTGAGAACAGTCAGCGACCATTGGACGAGGAAAACAGTGCAGGAGATTCCATGGAAGGAAAAGCGTGCTCTATGACGATCACTCACAAGGTAGACGGACGTCTTTGTAAGCAAAATGAATCTGTGCAACTGCAAACACTCCACTGATAACGAGAATGGAAGATGAACTGAAGATCTTAGCCACTTCCAATGACGGATGGTTTACGTACGAAGTGCTCAAGTTGAATTGTTGGAAAATGATGTTGACTTAATCGGAAATATGATTCCGACTTTGGATTCATTTGCAGATATCTCAGCGTATTTTTCAATCATTTTATTTTATACGACTAGCCATCACATATACTGTGCGGATCCTATCACTTCTTGCATCCGATTCACTTTCCTCGCATTCATGGTCCACAATGGTCTTCGAACATTTTGCGTTTTCTTTCAGCTGCTGCTCGGGACTTCGTCTTCTTTACGAATTTTATAGAATGCTAGTCGAGTTAATTCTTCTTGAAATCTTGAAAATAGCCTGGCTAAGGCGTTCTCACGTGGTTTGGAGGAGAGCATTGGGGCGGGGATTGAACTAGTGCCTTTGCTTCCTGATCGACGGCATCACTAACCACTGCGCTATCCCCACCACATCCGGCCGTGTACTAAATTTTATTGATTCTAATAAAAACAGCTATAATGTGAACATTATTGGCAATAATATGCAAGTCTATCTACTCCACAATGATAATGGGCGCTTTTAAGCCCACCAATCTTTTATTTCTCTTCAAAGCTCGCACCTCCAACAGAACCATGCTGTCTTCCGGTGAGTCGATATCGATGGGTGACACACTCGCCTGGCTGCATCATTGTCATTCGTGGAGACAGACAGTGTATAGTTGTCATCTGTTGATCGATGTCATTTGGTTGTTGGTTAAGGGCACAAGAAGTGGGCATGGTCTGCTATAAGGACGTTTGGACAATGAATTTTCGAGAAGCGTATTGAGTCCACTAGGTGTTATACCTCGTGTAGAAAATCTGACAAATATCATGATGCTAAACCTTTCAACACGTTACCGACGATATGCATTGATCCCAGTACATAGTAAGTACGAGGGCTGAGTATGTGGTTGAGCAAACTTGATTATTCAACGTTAAAAAACTATTTTGGCCTATAATGAAGTTTACTGAAAGGGCGCGTGTGCCGCAGTGGTCGAAGGCGCCCTTCATTACACATAGAATTGATTCCTGCACCTCTGGTCCACTAAGCCTTCCATCTCTCGGGGATCTGCAATTGGCACCAGACTTGTTTGCGAGGATAGCAGCACTGCCTCCATACATCGGAAGGCCACCGTGGGTTATTCTAAGCGCCAGATATGCATTCACTCACCTCCAAATGATGGTTAATGAAGTCGAATGCGCGGCACATTCCTTAGTGATTGATCAACGCCGAGAGCTTTATCCTTTAGTGCAGTTAAGTGAAATAAAATTTATTGGAATCTACTAATATTTGCTAGCAAGGTACAACTTCACTCATTCTGCTCTGACTAGAGTCAGTTTCTTACACCCCACAATTCGCCCGTTGATGCTGATACTGGTGTGTCAAGTATCTGCGGTGGCGAACGAACAGCTATTTTCCTTTCCGGGGAGCGACGCGTTCACCATCACACCATGGGGTCCTTCCTTTCGCCTGTTTCTCAGCTAGTTCTATTGATCGGCGCCATCAGCAATCACCCGTCAACAGGACTAATCTATGGAGCTCAAATCGGCAACGAACCTAGTTAAGCTGAGGCTGAAGTCGAAATCACAATCTTCACCTTTTTATTTACTGCCTACTATAATTTTTAACGGCAAGGTATGATGTGAAATATAACTACATAACAATAGAAAAATAGAACTAGCTGAGAAACAGGCGAAACGAAAGAGCCGCATGGTGTGGTGGTGAACGCGTTAGTCCCCGAAAAGAGCAATAACGAGTTCGTTCCCCACGGCAGACACCTGCGGTCCGGAGTTTTGCCAATATCTCGGCACTATCTTAGTTGAGATTAAACTTTTCTCTACAATTTCAGGTTGAGGCGGTCTTCACTATGTGATAGCGACATTGAAATTCCCAGAGGCGCCCCTCATGTTGTTGATGGTATTAATAAAAAGGTAACTCTATCCCTTTTTTAACCTTAAGCTCTATCTGTCGTGACTACTGTTATCTGTTTTCTTCCAGAATTTTTCTCAACTAATCTCATTTTACAATCACTCAAGAGACATCACATTTGTTAATGAAACAGAGCGTCACTTGAAGGTATTTGTTTTGAATATTTATTCACAAGGAGTGTTTTTTTTTTGAAAATAATTTGTTTTACGATAGGAGAGAAGAATGAAGCTTTTTGCTGCACGCACTGCTATTGATCTTCATCCAAAACTCATACTAAGTACAAGAGAGCAGCTATCCAACGAACGAGGTGCTCCAACGGTGAATGCATCCATATTTTGTTTTGTAGCACTCGTCATTCCGTCTTTATCCTTTTCAGAATGCCAATAATCAATCTCCTGGTGTATTGTCGTTGCATGCAGCACAAATACTCGAAACCACCAGAGTTGTTAGTTTTTTCTTATGCCTTTTCGTGAATGTTTCCCTTAGTTCATGAACCTTATTTAGGATACCGTGGCCGATTCCATTCCTGGTATGTCAGATTTCATCTATATTCTCAACAGATTATAGCTTATTATTAAGTGCCTGTGTCGGATGCGCGAATGCGCCAACTTGTTGTACAATGCCGAAACGATCCAGAACTGGTGCAAAATCTTCTTTATGACCCAAGGTAAACAGAAGAGTTCGGTGTGTTTGCTTGGTTGCGTAAATGAGGCAGAATCTTTTCCACAATTACGTGTATACGTTAATTTATATTAGGTCAAAATTGGAGCAGAACAGGCTATATTGTTATAGCTGGGGTGTTGTAAAACAACGTAGAATATAGTAAGATTGGAACTAAAAGCAAGCTTCCTGTACCTTCTTGGAGACTGCATCCGGAGATTTTTAATGAACTCGTTGTTTCGGCAACTGTTACAAAGTTTGAACACTTTTTTTCTGCAGTGCTTTTCTTGTGCACCTTATTTGGTGGGTATAAGGTAACATAACGCAGCTGGTGTTGACAGGTCGTACACCACTTTATTCAGGTATGATAATAAGTGGAAAAACTGCTACACCGACGTCTTTCTTGTGGAAGAAGGAAAGAAAATTATTAAGCCAAATAATCGGCAAGGTTGGGTTATACCACTGAAAAATATTTGCGATAAGGTACAGTTTCTTAGTAAATTGTGAATACTTCAAAATTAGTGTGTTTTTGACCGCGTTCCGGATACGAAATTTGAAAAATTCGTTTCAGTCAACAGATGCAAAGTCATTATAGATTGCTTCGATACATCGCGTAAATGTATTGTGGACTACCTATGTTAATGCATCTATTATTGTTTTATTTCTGTAATAACTGAAGTGATTGAAAATCTGCCATTCCAGGCTAAGCCTTTTCGTACCATAAACATAACCTTCATAGAGCTAAGAATGAAATATTTTATCGTACTAATTCTGTTTGTCGAGGTTGGAATTTCATCGAAGTTCTTTACCGACAATCGGAATATTACCCTTCAAGAGGCTCGGATACAGGTTCTAAAATCTCGTTTGGCAATAAATACTGAGCCAAGCGCTTGGCTAATGGAATACGATCCGTTGACAACAAAGTGGGATTTATTTCATGTTACATAGATATTATCTCATATCTTCAACTGAATATTTCCAACAGAAATCTCGACTTGATGTCATATATCGCCAGTGAATTTGACCCACGTGCCCTTCAGTCTCGACTGGCCCTCTACAATGAACAAACATATTCTGATCGTGATCGAGTTCGCGTCTCCGGGAAGTGTGCGCCTTTCCTTTCGCTTCTGATACGATTTCTTTTTGTTTAAGGAAGTTCATGTAGTATTAGTTGTCATTGACATCAGTTGATTTAGATTACAATAACATACAACTGGGTAAGCGTATGTTTGGTTCAAGCAAAAAGCAGAAATTCATCTGTAGCATCACTGGAGGCATGGAGAGAAGGTGAAACCTCTCGATTATTGGTAGAATTGCTTATCAAAAAAAAGACGTAGCGTTGTATCATTGCGAATCCTTAAATATACTAATAGTGGTCTGTCTAGGTAACAACTAATTTTATCCTTCCAGGTTTGAGATCCTGGACAACCAGGTAAATCACTTACCCTTCACTCATGAGGCATTTGACCAAAATTTGGACAAGTGTAGAAATCATAGTAAGCTTTTGTAATTTTTATATTTTGTAGATAAAGGATGGGGTGGTAGAAATTCGAAAGAAGAACATCTAATTCCATTTTTTGCACTGTATCCTCTTTTGTTTAATTTTAGCGACACTTTAATGTTGCTTTTAGTATCTTTCACATACTGCATTCGTTATTTTGGTTATCTATCCGATATATTGTAGTCGTACCTTTTTTGGTATCTGCTCTTTCTACATGAGAAAATAAAGGAAAGCTCGTAAAGTTATTCCTCATTTACAAAATTATCCTGGTATAGGATAAGGATAATACCAGGTTCCACCACCGTCTCGGTATCAAAGTCGCATGGTGGTAAATCTCCCTCTGATCCACAAGGGTTGCGACTGCCTGTCGTGGTGACGACCAGGGGCAAACTTTGTCCAGGCTGTCCTCAGGATTCCAGGGAACCACAATGGCTAAACAGCAAATCACCGAAAAATGGTGATTATGCTGGGGCTCTCACAACCAGTGATGACTGGCCATTCAAGTATCAAGTATCAAATAAGTACGAAATTATTCTTCCATCAGTCTTTCTTCGTAAAACCTTACAAGGACTTGTCAAGCGGCTGTTAAACGGCTTTGATGCTGTTATTGTGTAATTTGCCAATGATCTCGTACACTTGTGCCTTTAGTATTTTCTGACCCATACAATGGTTGATGATATCCAAAAGACCGTGGGAAATTTAGAAGAAACAGAGGATTTATTTGAAAGCTCAGCTTGCGTTATTGTTAGATTGCTCGTTTAGGAGTGAAGTGCCGGGATTCTTCCAGAGTGATTTTACGGTATCCTAGTGACACTACAAATACGTTTATTCATGCTAACTATGTGCACGGTGGACCCTTGTTCAACAAGTTCATTGTAACGCAAGCTCCTATGGAGAATACTATTGGTTCGTGTATGAAATCCTCAACCATTTTTTATTTTTTGTTCTCACCGTAGTAAATCTCCTGGCAGCTTTATGATTTTTGAATGTCGTTTGGGTATTATTCTCGACCGGGTTAGAATTTTGAACGAAACTGTCTATTTTTCGGCTTAGGTGACTTCTGGCGAATGGTCTGGCAGGAAAAAGCGTCCTATATTTTTATGCTCATTAGCAGAAAAAATGTTGAACGTTGTGCTCCTTATTGGCCGCGGTCAGCTGTTCTTTATTACATGTGTAGCTTACTTTTCCCATTTGCAGTGTTCTTAATTGTGTGCCAAAATTGGCTTAAAGTATCGCTTTTCTTCAGACGCCCAGAGTTTGCTCCAGTCATTGTTCACGGCTTGCATATTTATAATGTAGGGATCTCATCTTCACGTGATCCAGTATTTCGTGTCACGTATATTAGAATTGTGAACGACTTGGGTGATGAGGTATTTATTAGATCTCATTAGGTTTTTAAACAAATTTCTTCTCTTCTTATTACCGTTGGCATTTTTTGGGTATAAGATAGTGCTACTTTTTAAAATTCCTCCTATTATCGCATAATCACCAATGCTAATAACTTTAAGTCCCACGGGCTAAGTAAATATTGTCGCCAGACCTGCCTAAAAGGACAAAAACATTGACGATATGCATCCTTGTACCGCATGCATTCTGTTCTCTGTGTGACGCAGTTTTTGGATGTCGATCAATGTCGAATGATTGTTCTAGTGTTCTACTATGCTTGTTGCAAGCTGTATAGATTTTTACATAAGCTACGATTCAGCATCGTGTGGAGCACTGGCAAGCAGATATGAACAATTCTAGCAATCTCAACTCTCCACTTTCCATCCTAGCTCTAGCTCGAAACAGCTCTCGGCCTGTAATCATCCACGACTGTTTGGGTTGGTTTCCTAGATAGAGAGTTATATTTTCCTAGGATTTCAAACTTTAATTCGATCTTTACTTCCACAAAATTTAAACAGCGTGCAAGATGTTGTCGAAAAGATCTGGATGCTTCTATGCATATTCGCTTCATCAAATTTGGCTCTTCTATATCAATTATAGCATACCATTTCCTAAAAAGTAGTTTATGTTCAACGATAAGTATTAGGTTCTCCAGGAATTAATGTCCGATTTCAATCTATATTTCCAAAATGGCAAATCTCACCTCAGAATTTATTTATTCCTTATCATCACTTCTTACCAGTGTGTACCAATTTTTTAAAAAGATATGAATGCATACACCAAATTTCACTCTTCTACGTCAAGCGTAGGATATCACTTCCTCCAAAAATATAGTTTATGCTTAATGGTAAGTACAAGGTTCTTGGAAGTCAATGTTTGATTTCAGCCTATACTTCGAAGTTGGCATATATTAGCTCAGAATAATAATTATTACTCGAAATAAAGACTATTATTAATTTATTTACTTGCTTGAATAGTTGCCTGTCATCACAAGTGGTGCGGACACCAGCGTGATTTCCATCCGTTTCTCTTTTGCGCAATCGCCGTCTATGGCAGCGGTATGCTTCGAATATGGTGACGAGAGGCGATAAAAACCTCTACAACCTACAATTTTTTTTCAACGAAAAGCGAACCTACGTATTCCCATTGTATGAAACTCTGGAGTGCTGGTGCATTTTGTTGACTTGCTAGACGTAGTTCGTCGTCCTAGTCGGTTAGTATGGATTCAGGAATCTATGAAGGACTAAACTAGTAGCAAGCGACCAAATGGTCAGTACGAACCTGTTTCGGTGCATTTTCGCCTTTGGTAAGTGCTGCGGAGCTTCATCGAAATCCAACCATTTAGTCGATCGTCATGGTTTGTAGAGGATCCATTTCTCGTCGCACTTCACAATACGGTTGAGAAACGCGTCGTTATGGTTGCGTAGAAAAAGCACCGTCGACGTCTTAAAGTGGCGACTCCTTTTATTCTCATTCAATCCGCAAAACTTGAACACAAAAGAACTGAGCATCAATTAAGTCTCGTTGACTTTCCAACTAGTTTAGGTGGTCCAAAACAGTTGGGATGCTTATTCCTAATTGTTCTGTATTTTTTCGAAGAGTTATGCATGTATTTACTTATAGCAAAATTCCTTATGGCGTTTTCCAAGCCGGTAGTATATTGTGCGTTTATTAACACTACCTTGGCTAGATATTAATGTTCTGAGCATTTTCCACTGTGCTCATCTACGCTTGAATTCGTACTGCTAGATTTGGCGAAAATGGTGCTTTAATAGCTGGAATTCTAAACATTAAAATCTGCCGAAAACATAACTCATATTATATTTCAATTAGAATGGAAGTGCATAGCATGATCTTTGCAGTGACTTATAATAGTACAGCTTTCGAAATTTTTATTATGGATCACACACGTAGAGTGATCTCATACCGGTTAATCTCGAAGTAACACGGCCCGTTCCCAGGTGGCGGATAGGAGGTTAATCGCAGAACAAAAACGACTTTTCTTTCCTGAGACTCAAACGGGTCCAGAGGATGAGCTCTCTGTTTCTGCAGCGCCGATTTGGCACACACGTTATATATTTACGAGGACGCATTCAAGCATGCGTTTGTGGGTGTGTTCTCGTTTATGCGGATTCCATTCTTCGTGTCAGTTTCGCAACAAGTCTGCAATCAAGTAACGGAGAAGTATACGGCAAGTGGTTAGGAGTTCCCTTCTACAAATATGCTCCCCATCTACTCTGGGAAAGACTATCAAGCCACCCGTGGGCACACCGAGCCATTACGTTCAGAAACCAGATACGATACGATACGATACGCGATACGAAGGTGTCAAAAAATTGAACAGATTACCCGGAAAGAGGCCACAATGCGGCAGCGTTAGGTAGGAGGATTACGGAGACACTGCTAATATCTCAAGACCATTCTAGGTTATATAAGTCAGAAGGGACTAAGGCGATGATCTTGTACCTACATTGCACGCCCACTCGAATCTGAGTCCTCGGTAAAAGACTTGATCATGCAGGCAAGTATGATAAAGTACTACGCCATCAGCATGGCTGAGACGAGACGACGCCACCCATTCAACGCCGTCTATGAGACCGGAAGTGAGCTGTTCTTCACAACATGAGACAGTAGATACGATTGAAGAGATGTGGGCCAATACCGGCTTTGACAATATTCACTGTTTAAGCACCGACATCAAGCTATGACGAAGATAAAGTCGCGTTTCATATGAACTTGAAGAAGTTCTACAGAGAAGGTCATATATTCTTTAAGGTCATAATCAGTAGTTTTAACACTAAGGTTGGATATTAGCAAAACGCTGGACCCCAGGTGTCTGTGGTGGGGAACGAACGCGCTATTGTCCTTTCCGGGGAGTAACGCATTCACCACCACACCATGCGGGTCCTTTGTTTCGCCTGTCTCTCAGCTATTTCTATCGATCTTTGCCACAGTAATCACCCGTCAGCGGGATTGTGATTTCAACTACAGCCGCAGCTTAACTGGGTTCTATTCCGATTTGGGCGCCCCAGATCAAATGATCGGTCTTGGGCTAAATTTCAAACAAAAAAGTTCATGAGGAACGGATTGGTTGCGTGTGACCCATTCACGCTCAGCGAAATGATCACCTCCGAATGCTCCAGTTACATGTATCAGGAAATCAACACGGTGAACGACTAGCTCAAGAGTTAATTAGGAAAAACCAAGCAGCTTGAAAGATTTCAAGAGCGTCGAGGATGTACTGAAGAGAGCAAAGAATTCCCGACTCTGTGTCCACCTTGGCTCCACGATTCCTCCTCCGTTAGCGTATGCAGTGTATGCATCAGAGACCTTGTCGCTGCGTAAGCAAAATGAAAGATTGATCGGCGCTATTGAACCCACAGTCGAATGACCGATACTAGGAGTATTCCGTGTCTTACAGGTGAGGGTAAGGATTCGATACTCCGACCTACGTGAGCGGTCAAAAATGAATGGTGCCGTTCTGTACCTCAAAATATCGAAGATAAGGTGGTTTGGACACGTGGTGGGTATGAACGGCAACCGATGGACAAGAGCCGTTAGTGACTGGATTCTTCGGGATGTCAAACGTAGTGCAAGAAAATCACCGACCCGATGATCAGTGTTGTTGACGAAGACCCTAGAAGAAAAATGTGATGCTCAGCGAGTCCCTAGATCGAGTGGAACGCGCTGGGCTACTCTTGCCCCCGGTAGAGAAAAAGAAAATTTTACTGAGGCCTCCTCGTGTCACTCGAAGATCAACGGGATGACAGGTGATACAGCATTCGAAAAAGTTTGTTACTAAGGCAGAAAGGAAAAATAACGAAATTACAAATCGGACATTATCTTCCAGGCAGCGCAACACTTGTGGTTTGTACCCATAAATTGTTTTGAAAAATTTGTGTTCATCCACAGATTTCTAGATATGAATTTGTAGCCAAAGTTTCTATATAGGACAAGACCTGGCGTAAAAACTCTTTTTTTCCTCAATGCTTCCTCATTGTTTTTCTTTTGTAGAATATTTCGCTTGCGTTCTATAGGTATTTCACGCGCAGCATGTGTGGTTGCTACCGAAATAGCCATTTGTAACATCGTTAAAGGACCGACTTATAAGGTTTGTTAATTATAAACCTATTGTTTCATTTTTCTTCAAATTCTTTTTTTGAGCATCCCATACAAAAAGCGGTTCATTTTCTACGTCTTCAACGACCATTTTCCGTAGAAACACCTATGCAGTTTATCTACATTCATCGATGTGTCCAACGGTTCTTTAGTAAAATCTCTGAACCTGTGAGGGCCATGGAGGAAGACTATCAAAAGTGCGATGTTTCTATATTGTGTTATCTGTTTTCCATGTTCCAATTTTAAGTTCAAGCTTACTAGATGGCTGCGAGATCGAGCAGGACGAATGTTTGTGGACGACCTTGCTGCACCGGTACTTTATTTGTTAATTGATGGAATATAAGCGAAGTATGACAAAATATAGCTAAAATCGATGAAAAAACTGGCTGGGGTAAAGACTTTGACGTGATATGTATTCTTTCTTTGATGAGCTTACACAAGGTTGATAATGATGTTTATTTTGGGCTAACGTTTCGACGTCTTCGTCTTCCTCAGAGCCGATGATCCGAGTCGATGGTCCTCGCTTGTTATTGTATTATTGTATTGTATTATTATGTGCGCAATGGTGTATGTCCGGAAGAAAAACAAGTTGTTATCACCGGACATTATCATTATATCGACCATCAGCATCGTGTATAAAAGGGTATCACTGAGTGAGGATGCCTCATTCGAGGAGATAGCTCACTGAAGAAGACCTGATTCGACACGAAGGCGAAGTTGCCACGTCGAGACGAATAACAAGCGAGGGCCATCGACTCGGATCATCGGCTCTGAGGAAGACGAAGACGTCGAAACGTTAGCCGAAAATAAACATCATTATCAACCTTGTGTAAGCTCATCAAAGAAAGAATACATATTGATTAATGATATCGAGGTTTAAGGAAAGTCTGTTTCGAAATTTGACGTGATAATTTTAAATGAAGAAAGATTGGAATTTGGTCTTAAAAAGTGCCACATTAATTGAGATGTTCTCCATCATCTTAGTTCGTGACAGTTTGTTACTTACTATTTTATTTATCATGTAGGATAACGAATACGGGCCGGTTATTAGAACACTAATGCACTGTCATCAAAAAAGTTGAAAAAGCACAGAAACGAACTGTAGTCAGCAATGAGAAAGCAATAAAAATCCTGTGTGGGCTTTCAGGTTCGTGTTAAACCGGTCTCCGCGCCATCAGTATCATTGAATTACTGGGTTGTGTGAACTGAGTTCGTAATATGGTTTTTAAAATTTTTGTGGCTTTATCCGTTTTTTGGTTTTCGTTTAGAATATAATTGCCATCATCACTGTGTAGATGAATGTTTGGTGCCCTTTGTGAAGAACTAGCAGTGGTTTAGTTAGGAAAGTTTCGATTTGTCATTTATAGACTGCATTTGAACGTTGAAAGCCTTGTTACCACTAATGAATTTTTTCGGATCTGGAACAAATAATCATCGGAATGAGAGGAATTGGGACTATGCATCTGGTAAAGTAGTATTCTGGCTTAATCTAGGAATTGCCTATATGACTCATATTCGTGATGTGTGGACCAGCTTTGTCGTGCAGAAGGAGTAGAGAATTTATAATAAGTTCGTCCAACTTCTGATGCTGAGCGGCTTACATCCCCATCGTCATGGCGATGACGGTTAACAGATCAGGGTACATCATTCAATAAGAAGCAATAACTCATGCAAACTGTGTCGTAGTTCTTGTAACATATAGATATAAAGATCACGGCTGCCCACAGTAGCAGTTTCAGAGTACCTTTTTTCTGTAAGCGATTAAACTCGCACGCAGACTTAGACAGGAGAGATTAGTAGAGAGATTCTGAAAGGTAAAATTGTCCAAATGGTTGCCAAAATAGATACAGGTGACTGAGTACAGTAAACCATACTTTAGCATGGAGTTCCTTTCGTCTTCCCTTTGCATATTTTCGCATGTAATTTTCAAAAGTTTTGGAGTGATTTAGCTGGACATTATACAGTCAAATAGATCGCCTCTGTTACTGTTAGGTGCTATATGCAGATAAATCATATCTAATTCTACCGACCGCCTATAAAAGGAACGGAGATATATTTGTCATCGCTTTAGTCGACTGATTCTTTAGATTCCCGGCTATCGCTTGTTATCTCCTCGTGTTGATCCAGACCTCTTAAGATTGGTACGACATCCATGTAGACCGAATACTCGAAGGTATATGGACTATTTCTTACTTAAGCGAATGCACTCATTTGAAGTTTTTGGTTTAAGAGAAGCTCCTGATTGTGTTGGAGAATTACCGTTGCCGCTAAATCCAGCAAGCTTACCAACACAAGCCAGAAGAACCTTGGTGCCTTGAAATATGATTTCCGAAAATCTTTGGAAAAATATGCACGTAAGACAGCATGATGTCATTTCTTCTTCTTTTCGTTGTTTTACTTTTCACATTGTTGTTCACTAAAAAGAAACACCTACTAAATCTGTTTACTGAATGAAAAAAATCGTACATTAATATTTATTGCATCTCCTTTTTCTCCGTACGTTTACCATTTTTCCGAACTGGTCATATTTTCGTTGTCATCATTTGCCTTTATCCGATATGAGATGACGGTGCCTTTCTTCATTTTGATAGTAAAAAGTACAAAAATGGTAAAAAAAAAGTCGTATGGAAAAGGCCACTTTTGTGTGCGCATGTTCTTATACAGTATTTATCGAATAAAATTTATTACAGGAAGACCACAAAATATCACAATTTGGTTAGTTCACATTCTTCAACATGTTTTATGCGCGTGGCCTTGATTTTTCGTTATTTACTGGTGGCTCGTGCGTCATGTCGTTCATCCGTTCATCGTTCATGTTGTAATCACTTCTTCGATGGAAACAAATCGATATCACGTCCAATATTAGTACAATCACTTCCATAACCGTAATCACGGAAAATCCTGAATATTCACATAATGGTGGTGTTCATGATACGTCCGTAAAAGTGCAGGTCGGAGCATGAGTATTATATCTAGAATAATACGGTAATTCTACTCTATTTTACACTTTTATAAAGGATGGTTTACGGCTAGAATAGCCTATAACACCATAATTTTTCTGCATTGTTTTTTGTGAAACTCCGTTAATCATGGATTCGAATTCGACACTGGATTCCGACTGTTTTTCCGTTGGATTCATTAGAGCATGAAATGATTTTGTTTAAAGAATTAGTGCTAAAAACTACGGTTTGATTGAGAAGGCTGGAAAATCATTGTCCAAGGACATGCATGGGAATTAAGCGAAGTAAATAGCAATAAGGATGCCGTCGTCAAGAGCATGGTACTAGTCCGAATATGCTGCGGGCCAACGAAGGCTCTCATCCTTCCGAGGTCGGGAAATTGGCACCGGACTTTCTGGAGAAAAATTACTTTGTGTAATGCGATTGGGAGCGCTCCAGCCAGACTATTTCAGTACTTCAGTGAGAATTACTCGATCAGTATTCTACGACATTCAAGATGAAATGAAAATCCTCAAGCAGCAACCGAAGCCACACGTGAAGTTGGAAGATCTTCGCGGACAATGGTAGCGAGGAAACGAACTGAATGTGGGAAGTACTGCGATCCGCATAGGAGATGTGAAGACGAGTCAAATAAAATAAAATAAACAAGTAATAAAAGATGGCAATAAGAAGTGGCTTTAGTACCTAACCACAATCCAAGGTGCCCGCCAAAGTCGGCGATTAGGTTCACAAGACCATAGGCCTCAGATTCTTGAAGTAACTCGTAGTTTAGTTGTTCATAGAAGACCTAGTAAAAAATACGCATCTACCATTTTCTTTCAGTATTACTACACCTTCAGCACATCAGTTTACCTCAACCATAGCAGCATTGTGACGGTAATAATTCTCGCATTCCGACTCCGTCATTCCGTCACAATCACCGAGCTGAAACATTGAAAAATCGCTGAGCTTGTAGATATTACTAACTTTCGATTTAAAGTGGTATGCATAACATGAGTGTGAGTGATGGAGTATAAGCTACGAAGTGATCAGTGTGGTGCGAGCACTGTTATAGGAAACCAGGACTAGTTAATCTATCACTTGTTATCTATTCTATATGTCATGTGCAAAACTTTGATTTCTAGGGAAAGGTGCGTGACAAAAGAAAACATGGAGCTTTTTACCGCGAGATCGTCCTGGAAAAAAATCAATATTATTTTCTCTACAATAATTCGTTGGTTTAAAAAAATACGTGTACCTGAACATATTGAGTCTGAAAAAGTTTGAAAAACTGAAATGATGTGCTTTTGCCTCTGAGTATTGTCGTGGAAATCCAATTTTGTTACAGTGAGATGATAAGGTGTACTAATGCACTTGAATTGAACTAGTGAGTTGCACTTCCAAGAGTACTCATCATCCTTACGTCTGTCGCTCCAGAAGGCCATTTACTTGCCGAGAATGTGACCTCGTGAACAGCTTCTCTGCATCGTTGCTTACACTTGCAGTCCATAGCTTCAGTAATATGATGAAAATCTCCAGTTGCACCAATATTACGCTCTAAGCAGTCACCTGAAAAGAGGAGACGGTCAGAGACAGGTCATTTCAAGAGAAAGGGTACTAACGTGCGGTTGCGTTAAATGCCGAGCAATGTTTGCTTGATTTTGGCACCGGAAATCGTGGATCACCACAGGAACAGTCGCGAATCAGTTTTGCTTGGAAGCAGCTACGATGACATCCCTGTCGAATAACATTTACTAGATACTAGAGAAAGAAGAAAATGATCCTCATACAACATAGTGCTTGTAATACATGACAATGAATGTAGTGCGCATTGACTAAAAAGTGGAGTCTTTGATCTTTTGCCATCAACCAATAGAACTAGCTGAGAGACACGCGAAACGAAGGACGTGCATGGTGTGGTGGTGAACGCGCTACTCCCCGGAAAAGACAATAGCGCGTTTGTTCCCCACCGCAGACACTTGCGGTCCGGAGTTTTGCAAATATCTCAGCATCATTGAAGCTGTATTTCACAATGTATACCCTGCCGTTAAAAACAGTAGGCAGTAAATAATAAGTTTAAATTGTTTTTAACTCTGTTGTTTAAAACGTTATAACTTACTTCACAAAAACTTTATTGATCAAAGTAAATTTTTTTATTATAAGCATTTAAGTTTTCACATTTTTGCCAATCAAAAGCAAGTTTATTTTGTTCGTATTTTTGTTGAGCAAACACGAGGTGTTATTATTCTTTGTTCACGATTAAGCTGACGTTTCGGCGGATTTCGCCTTCCTCAGAGCCTGGAAAGATCAAGTTGATAGCAATCCACTCGGCCAGACGCCTCCATAGCCAAACAATGAAACTCCAAACCAAGATTTCAATCACTTTGAACACAGCTTTGCACACTCACCGCTTTCTATGAGGTTTCCACTAAGTAT